TCCACATACAGTCCACAGTCCACAGTCTGTAAACAGGAGATTCAGCAGAAAGAAAAGCGGGACAGTTTCCTGAAAACCAGCTGTGATTGATTATAAAGTCTCCTGCAGTAAGTGTCAGTGGCCTGTAGGTGTCAGTGTAAGCTCTGTGTACAACTGCTGGGAGCTGTTTATTATTGTCACTGGAAACAGAGATGGGTCGGTTAATTAACACAGATTACAAATGTTGTTATTAGTAACATCATCCATTAATTCATATTTATTAATGTGCAATAATCTGATTAATGTTCTGCCTTTGATCCTGATTAGCTCGGTAGGTGAGTCAATAATAGAAGCTGGAATAGTTTAGAAAAAACCCATATACGACTATTTACTCATAATATATATTTATATCAGTATATAAATTATATACTTTTCTATATTTTAATATATATTATATATTTTATATTGTTATTTGCAGGGATTTATTATTATTTGATCTTAATTGTTTTATTGCCACTATGTTGTTTTTCAATGAACAAACCTTTTTAAATACAATCGATCAATCAATCATTGCTTCACACATTAAAACAGTAATAAAACAGATTAAGATTTATAAATAAATATATAAACAAAGTAAACAGAGAAATACAAAGAAAAAGGATTTAAAACAAATAGATTGATCATTCAGATCGCATTCCCCTGAATCAATCAATCAACATCTACAGAGCTCACAGGGTTCACAGAGACTGATTATAGAAAGACATCTTCTTATATTTTAAAGACACAAATGTATTAAAAAAGTAATCTTTGACTATAACTATAATCGATTACATTTTTCAAATGTAATTAGATTACATATAATCAGAGTACTTTTTCAAATGTAGTCTGATTACATGTAATCAGATTACTTTTTCAAATGTAATCTAATTGAAGGCCAACAGTGTTTAAAAGTTACTCTGTGTAAACTGGCCATCCTCAGAGCATCAAAATAAATGAATATTAAATATTACAGTTTGTAAAACCCAGTTATTATTATCTGTTAATATCTGTTATTATCTCTGTTATTATGATCTGTTAATAAATACTTAAAAACCAAGGTTATAACATTGCTCTAAAGTAAAAGACAGATTCATATGATCGTAAATGTTTTTAATTTCACTTTGAAAATGCTGATAATCAGAGTTGTTTTATTGATTCTACAGTTTGTGATGAAAACACACTTTGAGTTTTTGATTCCTCCAAACAATGACTTTATTAATATAATTTGAAATAACGCAGTGAGTGAAACGCTCTGTGGGTCCAGGTTGAGGTGGACGACCGTTCTCTTCAAACACTGACCAGGCAGCGGTTGCTAGGCAACTGTTGTGCAGCATCATGTTGTTCTGTTGTCTTCATACGAGGACGAAACGCAGCCCAGGACCTCGTCACTGAACCGGACCTCCTCTCTGTCGGCGTCAGTGAGCCACAGGCAGAGTTACACAACGTCAGGCTGTAATTACAGTCGGGGAGCCGGAGGCAGAAAACAGGATTTATGAAATAGGATCTAAAGTATCGACAATAACAAAACCTTTTGAAACCTTTTTTCAAAACCAAGGCTTTTTGTTTTTGACCTAAAATGTCTGATTCACTGCAGCCTTTCAGAAAATTGTGATGCACTTTGTTGTTTTGAGGCAGAAAGTGAAATAATGAATTAAAACTGGAAGGAAACTTGTTCCAGTGAGAATAAAATGGACTGTTGGAGAGTCGGTGTGAGACATCTGCATCTTCAACGTTGAAGAAACCTAATATTAGGGACTATAAACCTCATTAGTAAGCTTCAAGCTGCAGCGTGTTACCTGCTCAGGTGTTCTGTAATCACACATCAGCAGTAAATCACACTGACTGCAGCGTGGACCTTAAACACAACCTGAGCCGCCGGGAGAGCTTGGTCCTGTCAGGAAGAGGTTCTCCGGCACTGCATCACCACCTCACACACACACACACACACACACACACACACACACACGTACACATGTACACACACTCACACAGATGTAGGGCAGCCGGGCTCTGGCTGTGGAGGATGGACACTGTGACAATGAGGACGGACTCTCTGGTTATATAATATAGAAAAGCAGAGTGTGCCCCATCAGGACTCTTTGGTTATAACACACAATGTCAGTAACCAGTGGAGGAAGTATTTGAACTATCAGGTACACATAACACACTTTAACAGTATCATCGGAGTGAAATGTGTCAATATCTGAACTAACTGTGTCATTATCCTGATAAAGTGCCTTTCAGACTGTAACTGCCCCACATGTCAGTTTAATGCAAATATCATTTATTTATTTTTTGGTTCCTACCTACCTTTCAAAACGGTACTGATTTGATTTTGTTTCTACACCGGTACCACTTAATGATACACCGCCTGGCAGAGCAGGGCAAGGGGGAAACCACACATTGGTTGTCTCAAACTCGGTAGAATTGAGTAAAGATAAAGAGTTACAACATTAAATGTAAACTAAGAAGACGAAGAGGAAGAAAAGACAGAATTCGCCCTTTTGTAGTGGCAGCTCGAGGTGTGTTTATTGGGTTATTTGTGTACATTAAAGCTACAACATTTGCATTAGCATATTTATTGATTGTTTGTTTACTTTCTTTTCTTCAGTTCTCACGGTTGGTCGGTGACTGTGAATAACCTGTTTTTAAAACGATCTCGGGCCTCATGCTTTATACTACCCAGAGGAGCTACAGTGAGAACTCGACTGCTTCGCGTGAGTAGCCGAG